TCATGGGGAATAACTACTACCAGCTGCCCAGCCACTCAACCAGGCCCTGCCAAGTTGACAGACCAACTGAACTACCACAAGCACATAGAGAATAAAAAGAAAGAACAGTGACATGTATAAATTATTTATATGAGTGTGACTACATATCAATCATATAATGATGCTGGTAAATTCCATATGTTTGTGCACAGATAGAAGTATAAATATATAGTATTTGCATAGAAGTGAATATGAACACAACTATTGCTAACCATTTTCATGTAACTTCTAATTCTTTACAACATTCACAAATAGGATTCACTGCAGGTATTTGTAGAATAGACTATATATTAATGAAATTTAATGTTTATTCTTATCCCTTTATTCTTGATTATGTTTGCCTCTTACACTCTTGTTTCTCTGGATGAAACAAACCACTCTTTTTCTCTGCAAAGCAATGACAGTCCATTATCTTTATGGCTGCCTGTGGGTGATATGAAATTTTACTATTCATCAATGTGGGTTTCTTAAGTCTAACAAATTGGTTCACAAAGAAACAAGAAATAAAACTCAGCTACAAAATAGTGTTCCTGTGACAAAGTAACATACTTACTGCCCTCATTATGCTTTTACAAAATTATCTGTTGGCATCTTTCAAACTTAGCAGGGGAAAAAACATTTCACATTCCGTAAATCAAATGGGATATTGAGCTATTCCTTTTACCAATGCTTAAAGCAACACAAACAAAAATGGTCTAAGCTTTTGCTGCTGAGCTGTAAACATGCAGATGCCCAGGATCCACCACCAAAGAAAGCAACTTTTTATTAGTAGTCTCCCATGTTCAACTTTGTGGTCCCCCATCCCAAATCAAATTCCCTCCTTTATGGCCTTCTTGTCTCCTCTCCTCTCTTCTTCCCTGCCCCCCTCCCCTGTCCTCCCCTCTGTTCTCTCTCTCCCTCCCTCTGTCTCTCTCCCTCTCTCTTCTCTTTGATTCTTCCCTATAGCAAAAGCTAGATCTTTCTTTCACAGTAATGTGTGACTTAGAAAATTTTGATGATAGAGAGCATGTAGCTTCTTTCTACCCCAAGTGTTGTCCTCAAACCTGTTGTGTTACCAACTAAGGGCTTGTTAGAAATGTAGAATCTCAAATCCTACCCCTACACCTACTGTCAGAAGCT